TCATCAGGGAACCGCTGCCTTTAACATAAAAGGAATGACATTGTGCTCAGCTTTTTCGTTTTCCTCATTTTCAAAGTCGTCGTTCTCAGTTCCCTACAAATATCTGACAGATTCGAAAATGGGTCCAACGAAGTTAAAACGACTGCAGGAAGAATATAAAGACGTACATCTTGTTATAAATGATGAGTTTAGCATGGTATCATGCGGTATGTTGTATTTGATTGATAACAGAATGAGAGAAATCTGGCCTAGCCACTCAGACGAGCTTTTTGGTGGTCGAGATATCAATTTTACCGGATATTCTGCTCAGTTAGATCCCGTAGTTCCAACTGCACTATCAACACCGCTTCATAAGATCTCAAACCAGGTTCAGCGACGTGGAAAAGAAATATGGGACAGCATCGAAACTATGTGTATGCTCACTAGTCAAAATAGAGGTGCTCTAGATCCTGACAGGTTTAGCGCTCTTCGTCGCCTGCGTCAAAAGACCCGAACCCAGGATGATATCGATCTCTCCAACTCCCGTTCAGTTCAATCTCTAGGGTACCTTGAGTGGATGCAAAAAGCCAAACATATTGCATACAAGAATGTATATGTCAATGATGCCAACGTTCAAAGCATATCATCTGCTCATGTACCGATCGTGCATATATCTTCGCAGCATTTCGTTCAGCAAAAACGCTTAACAACAAAATGTGATATTCCCGTAGGAACCGATTGCGCACTATTGAACGACGCTCAAACAATTAACGCGGATCACGACAGAGTGGTACCTAACAAGTTAAAACTCTGAATTGGTGCACCGGTAACAGTTACCTACCACATGGTGCAATCTGCCGGTCTGTCCAATGGAACCAATGCCATAGTCTATAACTTTATGTTTGTTACCAGCAATGACCTGCCTATTGTTCTCGTGCAAGTCACGGACCCGTACATCGGTCCTTCTTTATTGGATGAAGTACCTAACATTGTTTCTATTGCACCAAAAGACATTTATTAGGGAAAGACATCCAGCGATCTTCGCGTTGTTCGAAGAGGAATTCCACATCGATTAGCTTATGCGATGACCGTGCATAAGGTGCAAGGACTTACTTGTTCGTATGTGGTTTTCCACTCTAATACGATCCCAAACATTTCGTTCGCATACGTAGCGCTTTCACGTGTAACACATCGAAATTCAATAGTTATAACGCAACCACTTACACTAGAAAGACTAACAGCTACTCCTGAGCAAATCGCGCTTTTCCA